AGGGAGAGGGAGACCACGGAAGCGGTAGACCTGGTCACCAGCTGAGGCGGCCGCTACGGCGCCCGCTGAGGCGCCGGCGGGGACCGCGCACTCCCTGATGTCCGCGCCGTTCTGCATGATGGCCTCCACGCACGCGTGACCATCAGGGGTCACGATCCCTGTCCCGAAGGGCGGCACCGTCTGAAAGGCCAGTATCAAACGCTCGTGCCAGATCCGAGCGCCTCCCACGCGATACAGCACATGGATGAAGTCGCCCTCGTCGAGCCCCTTCCAAGGCCAGCGGGTGTCCACTTGCCGCCGCAGCGGCTGCTGAGCTGGCCATGACGAGGCGGAGGCCCGCGCTCTGGCTATGGCAGCCTGCGCTCTAGCCTCCTCCTCCAAAGACGGCTTGAGAGGGGGGCCAGCGATCGGCTGCCAGGCGCCCGGCCACCGCGCGGCCAGGAGACCCCCAGCGAAGCCGGTCACGCCAGCGAGGGCCACCGCTGACAGCGCCCACCCCGGGGGTCCGCCCGGGCAGTCCAGGCGCGCCACCTCCTGGCCTGGGGCGCAAGTGAGGGCCGGCGCGCACGTGCAGGCTGGGCACTCACCGCGAGCCGCCCACAGCAGCGCTGCCTGCCCAGCACCGTGCACCGCCTCGCCCGCCAGCCATGCGGCGAAGGCCATCGAAGTGCCGTCGGCTTGCACTTTGAGCCCGATGCCAGCGGGGCAGGCAACAGATGAGTGCGGCGCCCTCTCTCCACCAGGCTCCGCTTCACGTTTCAAAACAGGACATATATACACATACGCACATACACACATACGCACATACATACATACATACATACATACGTACATACATACATATATGTTATACATTCCTTGGGGAGGATCTCTTTGTGAGGAACCCTCAGCGAACATTCTGTAGCCAGAGTTCCATGATGCAGATTCCTTCGGAAATATTCCGGACTCAATCGCAAAAGTTCCTTGATCAATACTGGTTGCTGCGATTTCCATATCCAAGGTTCATGAGTTAATATTCATGAATCATGATTCCTTACCGACGATTCCGCGGCAAAGATTGCTTAATCCCAACTCGTTACTGCGGCTTCTTTAAAAAGAACTCCTGTTCTGCATATTCCTTAATCAAAACTCATTCGCCCACGTTCCATGCTGCAAATTCCTTGCGACAGATTCCTACATGCAGATTCCGTCGTAGGGATTACTTAATGCATCTTCCTCGCTGAGCATTCCTTAGGGGTCATGCATAGAGGTTCCTTAGTCTTAAGTTCCCGAGCAAGAACTCCATGACGCGCGTTCTTTTTCACGGGGCCCTCAGTGAGGATTCTGCCGCTCGGGTGCGCAGGCGCCGCGGTGCACGCGAGCACCGCGGTGGGCGCAGGCGTTGTCGTGCAGATCGACGTCTGCGCGCTGCTGCTACCCGCCCTCGGTCATTCCTAAGCGCCCCCGCGCGCCGCCGGCGCAAAACGCGGCGTCTGCGGCCCCCCCCACCCCCCAAGATGAATGCCGTCATCAGCCCAGAACAAAAAACAGGCCCCAGCCACGCCCGCGCGCGCGACGACGATGAGCGACGAGCGACGAGCGACAACGACGACGACCACGACGACGATGACGAGGACGAGGACGACTGCGGACCAGACTCCTATGCGGATTCCTGCGCGGACACCTGCGCGGATCCCGATGCGCACGGCGGCAGCGCCTGGAACGCGCTAGAGGTGGGCGGGGGGGGGCGAAGGCGCTGCGTCAAATGGGGGGGGGGGGGGGGGGCGGGGGCCACGGCGCCCGCCATGCCCAAAGCAATACAGAAACATGCTCTTGATGATGGGGATCGAGTTCGGGCCAAACGACGCACCCTGTAGTCACACTGGCTCTGAAAATGTCTATCGCTTCCGCATCGGTTGCACAGCTCTTCCCTTTTCGGCCCACGGGGTTGAATTTCCCGCCTTTCACCCGACCCGTGGAACGGCGTCTACCTCGACCCTTTGGCCTGGGTGATTTCTTCGAACTCGGCTTCGGAAAATGTGGTCATAAATATGGCGAAGCCTTTCCCGTGCAACCGTCGGTTGCGACGACCGCCCTTCCCGCTGCCCTTCCCCCGTCGGTGGAATACTCTCCGTAAAACTAAGCACTCGCCGCGCGGGCTTCTTAATGAATCGTCTCCAGCGGCGTTTTGCGCGTTGGTAACCTAGGAATAAATATTCAGCGGTTTCCGCGTCACCGAGGCCGGGTGGCAGATCTGACACGTCTATCCCGTGGGTTCCGTCGGATGATATCGCGTCGGCATCTGTCCCATACTCGAGCCCATGCGTTACTGGACGCGGCCGCGTCTCCGCCGGCGTTCGTCGTGCATGTGTTCGCGTTTCCGCGCCCTGCGCTTTCCGACAACGCGCTTCCGATGTTGCCGGGGGCTCGTTCCGACAGATGCCCAGAGATACGCATGCGGCCCAATAGTTCGTCTTATTGTTTCTGGGTCCGTGGCATCTGACCGTAGAGAGGCTGAACACCGCTGTGATTAGGTGAAGTTCGGAATGGCAAAGCCGATTGGGTCAGCCCCAAGACGGGTCATCTCGAACCTGGCGAGGATAGAATCCGTTTTCTCGCCTTGTTCGGGCCTGCCGTCCATGAGCGCCGTCCCTGAGGTGAGCTGTCGTTCGTATTCAAGGTTTTTGATGTTGGCGCTCCAAAGAAACAGTATGTACGTGGTGGGGTCTGTGTGGACACCTTGTATCGTCACGCCGTTATTAATGACCTGGGGAAGGACTCGCATCGCAATGGCGCGTGCCACTCCACCCAGACCGCGCTGCAAGCATGCAGTTTGCTGTTGCGGGGTCATGAAGGCGATCGTGACGTTCAGCCACGCATGTACTTCACAAGTAAACTCAAAGAACGATACGTTCCCTGAGGGGCCCCAGTAGGGGCCCCTTGTTGCATTATCGCCTCCATCGTGGTGGTCACCACGTTGCATGTATCCTACATCGCACCCAATGACCATCCAAAGAGGGCTGAAAGTAACATATGTTGTATAGCAAGTCAATGGGAAATTGTTGGCATCGTTGTTGGTAGTCCTCGGTGTGTATTGGCTGTGGAGGCGTGTCCCCATGTTGGTTCAAATATATGTAGTTCGCGCTTCCGCGTAGTGGAAATTGGTACATGAACTTTTTTCCAAATTCGTCGTACATTGGGGTAAACAATGACGTAAAGCCGGGGCGTATACGCTTTTCGGAATGGTCAAGCGGATGTCACCCATAGCGGATATAGCGCGCCCGCAAAGGGCGTGTCCGCCTGCTTGCCAATAATCACGCTCTGACGTCGCAGTGGTGTCGACGGCATATCAAACCGTGCCGTGGATAAGTGTTGCGAAAGACAGAGTTGACCACAGCTTAGTGGGGCCAGCTCCGCTACCAAGTAAAATGCTAAATGAGGACCGTGTGGTGATAGGTTGGAAGGTCGATGAGGGATGGTGTACCATCCACAAGACTGATCGGGTCTTGTTTTAGGTACTTGCGATAGTAGATTGCTGCGTCCACGGTCAATCTAGGCAAATAGGGCGCCTGCATCTTGAGCCAGGCGCCGACGGCACGCTCGGTATGCTCGCTATACATACGCCCCTGTGAACCCCTGTTCCAGAATACGTTAGGGGGGACTGGCTTATGAGGGGAAGCATCGACCTGGAATGGGCGATATATTCAACCTGTATAATAGGGATGCGCGGCAAGGGTGCAAGGGCCTAGGAAAACCATGTCGACACTCTGCGAGCAGGGCGCGGCCAGCGAAAGCGGCGAAGGATGGGCCGAAAAGAAAGGATGCAAGGGCAACCGTGGAAAATTGCTCACCTTCCTGTGCAGGTTGACTGTAGCGAAGCCGCACGTTCCTGGGAAAGGGCCGGCTATCAGCCTCCCGTCGGCGATGAACGGGCGATTGGGGGTCGATGCATCCCCTCTGACAGCCGTTTCGCAACCCTCCGGCTTTCGGGTCATAGCTCGTCTTCCTGGCGGCCGTTCGGATCCGGGCCCCCCTGGAACGCCCTCGACAATGCGCAGCTTGTGAAGACAATCCCGGGTGCCGAAAATGTTTGAACAACTGGGGGAAACTGCCGAAAACTCCCCGTCCTCTGGCGCACGCGTTCTTTCTTCATCTCTCTCTTTCGTTGCCTCTCCCTGCTTCTCTGAAGCGAGCAGCCAGGTTGTGAGAAGGCAACCCCCACCCTTCAATAACAGACTTCCCCCACACAAACGACACTGGCGCGCGTACCCCAACTGACCATCGCTCGGACGTCCATTCCCTTTTACTTTTTTCGGTTTCGTGCGTGATTTTTTCGCCAAATCATCAAGGATGCTCCTCGATGGCCCTCGCCGAGAAAAAAATCACACGTCCGAGCGATGCCAGGCCAGAAGATTGAGGGGAGCCCGCAAGGCAACCGAGGCATGGATGGGCGGGACCGCATGGACAAAAATCGGCGGCGATCCCGGGGGGGAAAGGAGAAGGGGCGGCCTCCTCAGAAGGCTCGGAAATTCACTGGCACTCTGAGAAATTTTCTGTAGGGTGCCCACAAAGAACGTACGCGCCCAACTATGTACATGAACACGGCCCCTCGATCCGCGAGCCTGGCCGCGTGATACGAACATTTCCGCAACGCGTATTCTCGAAACCAGCGTAGATTCATGTAAGTGTACGTCCTTCTTTTGCTCCTGATTATGAGCCTTCCGCGAAGACACAGGAAATCAGGAAACTTCTCAGAAGGCGCGCAGGCTTCTGAGAAATCCCACCGCCTTCTGAAAAAAGGCCTCCTTCTCATGATCGCCCCCCTTCGCTTGCCGCCGAAACAACGCCAGGGCGGGGCCTCATTCAACGACAGCGACAGCGACGACGATCAACGATAACGACCGTTTCCGCTATCCTTGTGGGGAGGGGGCGATCGGGAAACACGCGAAGGCTAGGCGCGCCCCCGATCTGCTTCCCCAGGGGCCCCCGGGGCGGGGCGCGGGAGCGCAGAGGGCGCTGGCCTCCGCGTACTCGTCGCCGACCGACACGCACCTCGGGGGCGGCGCCCGGGGCCGAGCCGGGGGGGCGCGCGCGAAGCAGTTCTCGGCCGCTCTGCTTGGTTCGGCGGCGAGCGTGGGGGAGGAGGGAGAGGGAGGAGGCCTTCTCAGAAGAAAACGGGGCTTCTCAGAAGCCCCCCGGCCTGCTGAGATCTCCTGTCTTCGGGGGAAGCCTACGGGAGCTTCCAAACCAACTGGAGAACAATGTCCCTTTTCACTTACCCCTCGGGCTCGCCGCCGAAAGACTTCGGATTTCGCACGGACAATTTGTCCCAGCTGATCTCCACCCAAGGAAACACCCCAGCCCAAGCCGAGGGCCCCAATTTGCCCTCTACTCCCAGGTGTGTGGTGGTGGTGGGGGGGTCGGGGAACATTGACAAACACATGTGGAACACTTATACCCCCAGCCCGAAATTTGTGTATGTGGGCGATGTTGGGGTGGTATGATAGGTAATCAAACAGCTGGCCTCATCTGGCCTTCCGAACTATCCAGAATCCAGGGCGGTCTCGGCACCCCTAAGCGTGTGCCGCGATCCCCTGGAGGCGCGGCGCACGGCTGCGCCTTCGCGCCCGTGCGCCGGCCCCGCGCGATCGCCTGCGAAACGCCGCGCGCACGGCCATTTTCGCAGGAAGAGGAGGAGGAGGAGGAGGAGGAGGAGGAGGAGGAGGAGGAGGAGGAGGAGGAAGAGGAGGAGGAGGAGGAGGAGGAGGAGGAGGAGAGAAAGAGAGGACGAGGGGAAGAGGAGGACGAGTAGGAGGAAGAGGGGAAGAGGAGGACGAGTAGGAGGAAGAGGGGGGAGAGGAGGAGGAGGAGGAGGAGGAGGAGCAAGGAAGGAGGAGGAGGAACCACACTTGCGGGTGGCACTTGTGAAATGTAAGAGACATGGCGTCAATGGTAGCATGAGAGATAGCAGAACGGCGGTCCTTTTTCTCTCACTACAGTATCAAGTACTCTGGCCAACTGTGAGCAATACGGCAGCGGACCCCTCCCATTCGAGGCGGGGCTACAGGGCAACGGAGAGTGCCCTCCGCACTACCTAGGCTACAGGGGGCCACCCGAAATGAGATGCCATAACATTCGCCGCGTGCCCTTTTCCAGCGGACGCCCCGCACGCCTCACCCATTGCTCAGGAGCCTCAGCCCGAAAGGGGCCCTGTGAACTCTGGGGGCCCTGCCAGCTCGCTCGCGGTCCGCTCGTACGCCACATGAATCGAGCTGACCCTGGCCAGGGTTGTGTATACTAACGATTCCCCACCGCTGGAAGAGCCCAAGAACAAGCTTTGCCCAGTGCGACCAGCCGACGTTGCCTCGCAAAAAGAAGCGCTTGCCCGTGGGGGCCCGGCACAGATCGTGCCCGGCGCGCGCTCGAGCCGCAGCCCCGACCGTGCCTTCCAGCCAGGTTCGCTCACTGGCTCTGTTTCCGGCACGCTGCTGGCGTGGCCGCTCGCCTTCGGCACTCTCTCGTGAGTGGGCGCCCGCGGGCGTAGCTGGCCATTGCGTCGCTTGCGCGGCTGTGTAGTTGGAGAACGCCCGCGCGCCTTGCGTCGCGTGCGCGCAGATGCAGCTCGTCCAGCCGTTTGCGGCTGTGCGCCTCTGGTTGCTCACGCTTACCACTCAAAGCTGTTGACTGGTCCGCGCGTTGGTCTGGTGGCTGCTGAGCGGCACCGACGCGTCGCGTGCTGTCTGGAGGCGGCCAGCGCCAGCGCAGCGTCGCAGGCACCTTCCTCGGCCGTTCGTAGTTGGCCGTTGTCGGCAACGCTGCGCGGCCAACTTGCGAAGCCACCGCGATGCGCACAGGTCTGTGAGGAGGCGCGGCCGGTGATTCAGCGCTGACCTCGGCAGCGGCGCGCTGTCGACCTGGCACCTCGCAGCGCGGGCAGTGCTGCGGTGCCAAAGCCGGGCGCTCGCGCATGCGCCCATCGAGTGCCTGGCGCGTCGCGCCCGCCTGAGCTTCGCGATGAAGACGCCCGCCCAGTTGCCCGCGCGGCGCCCGCGTCCTGCGAGGCAAGAAAAATATGCATTTGACGGAGAGGCTGGCCGGCCATCGAGAGCATATAGCGGCTTCTCGATGGTTTTCGCGTCGAGCGATATCTGCGATGAGAGCCTCGCCGCGGGCGCTCCGGACCCAAACAGATCCAAGCCCATCGGCGCGCGGCGGCGGCTGTCAAGACACACTTGCATTCACGCTGCGCAGCGCGGCCAGGAAGACAGGGGTGGTGCTGCGCCGAGCGGAGGCGCAAACATGCCCCGTCGATCCGCTGCGGGCGCGGCGGGGTTCGCGTTGCCGGAGGCTTCGCGAGTGGAGCTGGTTCGGCCAGCTGTCCTTGCCCAAGACATGGGGTCGCGCGCGGCCGCGGCGATCGCGCGGTTCTGCGTGTCGCTGTCCGGGTCGCGGCGGCGAGCTTGGCGGATGATGTCGCATGCTTGGCGACTCTGGGCGTGACCTCGCCGGCGGCGCCCGAGGGCGGGCAGCGCCGCGCGCGCGTCGGCGCGCCCGCGCGCGTCGGCCCGCGCGAGGGCGCCGTCGCGACGCGGCGCAGACTGCGCGGGCGCACGCCAGGCAGTGCAGCGCCGCCCCCCAGTCGCCACCCCTGACAGGCGGCCATAGTAGCACCGGGCCGCCGTCGGCAAGCGCCCGCCCCAGAGGCTGACGCGGGAACGATGAGCGAGGATTGAGCCAGGCAGTGCCGCGCATTGGCTCTGCACTTGCGCGCCATGATGGGGGCCAGCATTCTGGGAGGTCGCCATCGGCGCGCAGTCCTTCTCGGCGTTGATCACGACTGGCTTCGCGGGGTAGATCTCGCCCACCGTCGGCAAGATCAGCCTAGAAGCCTGCCGGGCGTCGCGCATTGACAAATGAGGCGCGCGCGTTATTCAGCATGCTGTTGCAATCGCTGACGCTCGCCATGGGGCTGGACATCTGGGCGCCGGCGTCGGCGACAGTCGCCTCCGCAAAGCTGGGGGGCGGCGGGCAGCCGGACCTTGTCCGCGAGCTCGTTCTTGTCCTCGCAGTCGCTGGGGCATCGCACTGAATGGCACGTCGACCTGGCGATGGAATCGACGGGGCCGGCCATGCAGTTCGCTGCGCGGGCGCCGCCGGTGGCCTCGCGGAGTGCGCCGACCGCGCGCGGGCACTCGACGGGCTCGGCGATCTGGTAGTCGGTCGTCGGCGGCTGGGGGCGGATGGCCTCGAGCGGCGCGCAGCTCGGCCCGTCGGGGGTTAGGCGCGCGAGCTCCTCCTTCACCTGGCGGCGCTCCACGCGCTGCCTCGCGGCGCAGTCCTGCGCGAGGCCCGCGGCGGCCCTCGGCGCCTCTCCGAAGCCGCGCGCCCTCGCCGCAAAGGGGTTTGTCCAAATGCGGCTCTCGAAGTCGCGGTTCCGCATCGCGTCGGCCCCGATTGCTGCGGGCGCCAACCGCCTGCGCCGGCGCTGGCCGCGGCGTTCGCGATGGTCCAGCGCCGCCGCGCGCCCGCGTCGCCGCCGCGGATGCCGGGCCGACGGGCGAGGAGGCAGAAGGAGGTGCGATGACGAGACGCGGCGCAGAGCGCGGGCATCGATCTTGCGCGCCACGGCGCGCGCGCGCAGCGCGCGCGGCCCGGGGCGCGTCGCGACGTCGCCCAGCGACAGCGCGCGCGGCGTGCCTCGAGGAGCCTCCGCGAACATCGAGGGTCTTATCCCGCCGGACGTCGACCTCGCGCGCTCCCGACGCGTTCGGCTGCGGGCTGCGGTGCTCGAGGCCGTCGAGGAGACGCCCGTGCCCCCTGGCAGAGTAGCCGCGCATGATGTGGCGCGCCGCGGCGGCCCGAGCCGCTCCGCCGAGTCGGGCAGCTCCTCGCAGGTCTGCCCCGCGCTGACCTCGACGTGCCCGAGGCGGCCTGCAGCGGCGCCGCCGTCGCCGAATACCTCCTCGAGGGGCTCGGCATCCCCGGCGGGCACCGCGCGGTCGATGCGCCCTGTGTCGCGGACGGCCACGCTGCCCTGCACCCTGCCCGGCGCGGCATTGCCCGGGGCGGCGCGCGTCGCGAGGGTCGCGGCGACGGCGACGGTCGCGGCGTCGACGCGTCGGCATCGGCGGCGTGGCGCTGCGTCGGGGTGCATGACTGCCTATGCAGGAAGCCTCGCGACCCGGGCTCAGGCCGCCGTTCTGGGCGACCACGGCGCCCCGAAACTTCCTCGGCGAAGTGGTGACGGGATGAGCGCAGAAGTCCGCCTGGATGCCCGACAGCTCCCTGGCGCGCGCAAGGGCCTCCTTGGCCGCAACTGCATTCTTGCTCGATGGAAGTCGCCTGCGTTGTTGGCGACCCGTTCTCGGGTGTTGCGCTCTGCTGGCGCGTGCCCGCGCGCTCGTGGACGCGCGCCCGGTCGCCCGGCCCCTCAACGCCGCGCTGCGCGGCCGCGTTAGGCCAAAGTGGAGCGGCGGTTGCGCAATGCATCGTGCAGCGCGCATGAGACGCACCAGCGTGGTCCAAATATTCGCGATCGTAGTCGCGTAGATGGTGGCTCGCGCGGGTCGCCCAAAGGTCGAGCCAACGCTCGCAAGCTGTAGATCGGCGCGCGACCCAGGCTCAGCTGCTGCCAAAAGGATGTATCATATACATAGTGGAATGCGACGTCGGAGTGCGCAAAGACGAGAACGACGGCATGCAATGTCCGCAATGTAAACAAATACTTCGCATCCCAATACTCCGCATCCCACTGCAAGACGCAACGAACAATGAACGAATTCGCTGCTGAGTTGGTGGGTAGCACTGGCATGCCGCTCCAAATCCATAACACTTTCGCGTCGTAGCGTGACCCGGCCAAGTTGGCCGCCGCGCACTGCGCTGATTGCGCGCGCGGAGATCGGCGCGCCAGTGGTGCCTCGCGCGAGCGCTCTCGCGTGCCGCCTGGTCGCGTGCAAGCGCGGCGTGGCGCGCTGAAGAGCGCGGGGGCCTTGGCCGCACTGTTGCCAAAGGTAACGAACGGTGCGAGTTGGCGGCGCACGGGTGGACGCAGC